TAAATTATATTTTAAATTTATAAATAATTTATATTATAACATAAGATTATTTTTATTTATCGATAATTTATTTTAAAATATAATTTATAAATATTATAGTAAATAAAAATTGAATTAAATAAAAAATTAATAAAATTTATTCTTTTAAAATCAAAAATAGAAACTTAGTTCATATAATTAAGAATATCATAAATAATACAATTTGGGATGTGAAAAAAAGGACAAAGGTTCACACTATTTATTGTTGCTTTAACAAGCTTATGAGCAATAATATTGGCAGATCTAAGGGAGAAACACATATGAGAGTTTTGGGGAGTCAACCATAATAGGCTTACATTGGTCAAAGAGGCAACCAAATTCAGTTAAGTCAACAAAATGCTGATTAAAGAAATAGGATGAGATACGATTACAGTCCGTTTTGAAAATAGTATCACCCAAGTTCTAATCATGGGTCCAATTGATAGCATAAAGAAAAACAAAAGTTTTGCCAATCCATACAACATTTGATTGTGGTTGAACGAGCTTTAATAAAGGCATCTTGATAGTCTCTAATGCAAATGCTAATTCTTGTAAGCCCTTCCACCGAAAAAGAGTGAGTGGCAATATTGCACTTGAGCGACCCTTGGGGAGGAGGAGACAGCGCTACCTAGATGGAGGGTTAGGTTGAACAGGAGCAACTCTATTAGTAACGGCCCAATCATGAAGCATGGAGGAGGCACGAAGGTTGATCTCATTCTGGTTCCAAGGAGTGTTGCTCAAATGTAGAGCATTCTAACTAAGCCACGTGCTCCAAAGAACCATGGAGAATTATGCAGCAGCTTGAGGAGTCCAATACTGCAAAATAGATATATGGTTAAAAACACCACCAAAAGAATTAATCAAATTCATGGTACGAGAATGAATTTGACTTCCCTGCCAACACAGCTTGGTTGATGGATAACTAAAGAAAGCGTGCCAGGTGTTCTCAATATAATGTACGTATTGGGACATTGAATGCCTTTCTTTTGAAGGTTAGGCAGAGTAGGAAAGATGTCATGCATCAAACTTCATATAAAATGCTTAATTTTGTGGGAAATGTGGAGATTCCAAATGCTTTTCCAAGGACTAGGAACACTAAGATGACCCGTGGAGAGGTTATGTTGAAGATACCCTTTATAGGCAGAGTGATCAGTAAAAGAACCAGAAGGCTCCAATTCCAAATGCAGTTATCCTCGTAGTATGGATTGAGGATAGGAATGTTAAGAATATAGTTGCTAGTGTCAGGATCGAATAGAGAGTTAAAACTAATAAAAATTATTAAAAACTATCTTGTTGAGGAAAAAAAAACTCTCAAAAAATGTGCAAAATAGTCTTTCATTTTTAATATATAAAAGTTGAAAATTATGAAAGAAAAAATAATAATTTAAATATGTAATTAAAATAATTTCTAAAAATTATATTATCGAAAAAATACTCTTAAAATACTATTGCATTAGTTTATATTTAATATATAGAAATTAGTTAATAAAAATAAAATATATATATATATATTTATTGAGCATTGTTTTCTATTAACTTTTTTTTTATTTCTTCTCAAAATAAAATACATTTTTCTTTATATTGATAAAAGTTAATAGATTTTAAGGATATATATATATATATATATATATATATATATATATAAACATATTAT